GGCTAGAGACTCCAGTAGATGCCTTTCCTTCATCAGCTTCAGATCTTCGCTCCGATCCCTCCAAAACGCCTTCTAGGTCTTTGATACCTAGCCAAAGCGTAAACTCGAACCGCCATAGCGAAAAATCCGAGCCGGTGAACCTAGGAGGGCCATCTAATTTCTGGGCCATAACCAACCCTAGATCTGGAGATTCTTAAACCAATTCGTAATATGATAATAGGAGGGAATGTTGCAGGCCTAACCAACTCTGATACCACTGATGGAAAGCGCGTGAATCTGGAGAGCGTACAAGAGATTAAGTCCGCCGACTTCGACAGAACATTGCGTGCAGATCATGTAACCTTAAACTATGAGCAGGTATGCGTTGGAACGGTCTTAATCTCTACTTTCTAGAATGGTAACGCACGCTTTCAACCAAGATCCAGGCCGATCGCCATCGCGATTTAAGTGCGATAGTGTATTCTGGCGGAATTAGTAGGCAGCCATGGATTAGACCAAAAGACTAGCTTTAGCAAGAGTTCAGATCTGAAAAGTGACAAGTTGTTCAAACCCTACCAACCCAACCCTCGCCCTACAACAATCCTCAAGAACCCAAAGTGCTAAACTAGGAATACCAAAGGTGTTGTAGTGAATAGCAAATATTTGTTGGTGCTTGTTGGGTACGAGATCAATACCAGCCCGCAACAAGTCTAACCACCACATTTTGCCCAAACCCTTAGCCCACAACCAGCTAGAGAAAAATACCACAACCACCTACACAATCAACAATGCTGGAGGCGAGGCTCGGGCTAGTCCCGAAGCGTGGGCCGACACGGCCATGCCAGCAGTGCGAGGTTTGGTGAAACAGTGCGCGCTAAGTCGGCGAAGTCCCATTAGCAGTAACGGGCGAACAAAGGCTGCTGCTGTACGCGATGTTGCAGGGCGCGCTAAGGAATATCGAGAAAATTCCTTACACCCTGAAACTCATGTGGAACGCATTCGTCTCCTAACGCGTACATTCCGTGGGACGGACCTAGTACAGAACAATTTTTGTGTTGGGAGGCTAGCAGAAGTGCAATTGAAATGTATCACAAAAGCAGCAACAAGGAAATTTGAAGGCATTGCATGCAACATTGTATTACCTTATGCTACATGTGGTTACTAGACGTAAAGGCAAATCCCACCAGGTGCATTAAAACGAGAGTATAAAATACTGAAGGCAGACCCAACTTGAAATCGCTGCGAATAGTTCGGGTGATACAACACTGTTCCAAACAAACCGTGTTGGCAGGTTGAACTCATCTGATTGGCTCAAGCCAATCTGAAAATTGCCCCTCCCGCCAAAACTATTTTCGAGGCCCAAGTTAGCCGTCGCATTTTTCACGCTGCTCCCCGCACGACCGTTGCCATGCGATCGTTTCCATCGCCAGGCCAAACTTCCACTTCAAGTTGGAACTGGGTGAATGACTAGCCCTCTTCCAGTCCCGAAGACACAAGTGTTTTGCGTAGCATACGCTAGTAGTAAAGCTGATAGAGCTAGATGTTTCTGGCCCAGGCACGAAGTATCGACTTAGCTCGTGTGCGTAATGTAGTAAACGACGATTTTTTTTTATACATTTTTCCAGCCGTCGTGCTCTCGGTATATCGCCCTCCAGTCGCTCTACATTTTTCCCGGTCGCCTTCCTCTCTCGCGCTTCGCCTATCCCTCTCCTGCCGCCATCCTTTCTCCCGTCGCCCTCCTCTCTCCCGTCACCCTCCTCTCTCCCGTCGCTTATCCTATCTCCCGCCGCCTTCGCTCTCCCGTCGCCTTCCGCGCTCTCTCTCCCGTCACCTTCGCGCTCTCTCTCCCGTCGCCTTCGAGCTCTCTCTCCCGACAACTTTGCGCTCTCACTCCCGTCGCTTTCGCGCTCTCCCTCCTGTCGCCTTCGCGCTCTCTTACCCGTCTCCTCCGCGCTCTCTTTCTCGTCACCTCCGCGCTCTCCCTCCCGTCGCCTTTGCGCTCTCTTTCTCGTCGCCTTCGCGTTCTCACTCCCGTCGCCTTCGCGCTCTCACTCCGGTCGCCTCCGCGCTCTCTTTCCCATTGCCTCCTCACTCTCTCTCCCGTCGCCTCCGCGCTCTCTCCCTTCCCCGCCCGTCGTTCTTCCTCTATCCGCTCCCCTCTTGTCGTTTTCCCTCTCACTCCTCCCCTCCCGACGTTTTTCCTCTCTCCCCTAAAAGTCCCATCTCATCGCTGACATCGCTTCCAAAACCTAATATCTTGCCTTCGCCCTCTCTCTCTACCCTTCCCCCCCCGTCTCCCTTGCTCTCTCCCCTTCCTCCCGTCACCCTTGATGTAGTCGTCGCCTTCGCGCTCTCCCTATTGTCGCATGTCTCCTCTCCCTCCCGTCGTATGCACGCTCTCCCTCTTGTCCCCTTCGTCCTCTCTCTCCCGTTGCCTACAAGCTCTCCCTGTTGTTGCCTTCACCTTCTACCACCCGTCGCCTTAGCGCACTCACGTCCCGTCGCCTGCGCGCTCGCTCTCCCTCCCGTCGGCATCGCGCTCACGTTCCTCCTCTCCCCTCCCATCTCGTCGTTCGCCTCCTCCCCCCCCAACCTGTTGTTCTTCTCTCTTTCCCCATCTCAATCGTACTATCCTTTCGTGATACCTTGTCCAACTTATTTTTTCCCCTCGTTCTTCGGCTCACTATTTTATAACCTCTTTCATCCTCTCAAATACAGGCCCACCTCCACTCTCATCCGCCTTTTCTCGCAGATCTGCTAGGTCATCGGCCCACCTCCACTCTCATCTCCTGCATGTGTGTGTGCGCTGGATTTTCCTAGTAGTTGATTGATATGATAATTTTTAAACTCACATAGTGATTTTTAAAATTACGTTTTTCGAAAGCGCAGCTGACTGTAACGCGAATTTGGCATCGTCGAAGCACGCTAAGCGCCCTTCTCCAACTACAAATCGTGGGTTGGGGTTCATTTCCCTCCACCCACGTCTCTCATTTTTCAAACGGCTCGTGCAACTCTCAGTTCCTCGAGCTTATTTTTAGTTTTCCGTTCAAGCTGGCTAGAACCCGCTCTCTACCGAGAGGCGTTTCACCTTCAACATGTTAAGATACTAGTGCTAGGTAGGCTTAGGAGCCATAGTAGCTTAGAAGAAGTTCGAGTTGAAGGGTGAGGAAAGTATCGAGAGAGTTGAGAAGGAGAATGAGGGTTTCACTATAGGTTCAACGGTACAAATATGAAAGAAGTGAAGCAAGGTGCACCACCAACAATTTATAATAACTACACTAAACTACAGCTACAGGCAGCTACATATAAATTCTGACACAGCACGATTAGCCGACATTCTCAACCACAACACCACGACAATGGCTACTACGCAGACACTTCACCGCGCGAACAACACCGTCGTCAATGACCTGATTAATTCCAACAACGATCGTAATGCCCGGGAAACGTCGGGCGAGCGCCGCAACAAGCACCGGGCAGACGGCGAAACGTCCGCCCCAACTGCCATCGACGTGCTGCTGGGCGGGCTCGAGGTCAACAAAAACGCCGAGAGGCACCAGCAGCACCCTTCGGCGCCTGTGGCGCCTGTTGCGCCAGTGGCACTTGTGGCACCTGTGGCGAACGTGGCGCCATACGCTGCTGATCCGGAGCATGCGCCTGAGGCACACGCGTCCCTCAGGCAGTCGCGTCAGCGCCATAGGCGCAGGATGGCCGCCTTGTCTGATGCGACCGTGAACCCTCCGGGGTGTTGACCCCGGACCAAGTCAAAGCGCTTCTGTCCCTACTACAGCAGCGACCCGCCAGCGTTATTGAAGCCGAAACTACACAACCGGCAGCATCAATTTCGGCTAAAAATGAAATTTCGAAAAAGGAGAAGGGAGCAAAAGGAGCGTCAACACGCCATCATAACAAAGAAGCGGCTACCGGCGTTCCCGAAGCCGCAGCCGACAATCATGACTCCGACGACTCAGATGACGACGCTGGTGAGGCTCCAATCAACGCAACAAATTTTACATCCATGGAAAATCTCCCCCCCCCCTTCCTTTCACCACCCCCACCTTCTCGGCCGCAAAATTCATGAAGACAATCGTGCGCACGAAAGCGGAGCCCTTGGAGGACGTGAGGGCCTACCTGAAACACGCGGAGTACAAGCTGCAGCACGACGACACGGCAGGCGGACTCGAAATGGTCGTCAACGCCCTCGACTATATTTCGGAGCACTTCGTGATGTTCCAAGTTGAGGACCACACCGGCGACCGCGTGGCGAAGCGATTCAAACTCTACCAGCAGAAGAGTCTCCTCACCTCCCGCCCGTTCAAGCAGGCGGTGGCTGACGTGGCGGCTATGGATCGCGCGGAGGGCGCGTACACTCGTTCCCACCGCGGTGGAGGGCACGGGCCGACTTCATACACCCCAAAGCGGGGACCGCCGCCCACGGGTAGCTTCCATGGCTTCTGTGGGGCGTGCTTCCGTTGTAGCCAGTCGGGTCACATGGCAAGTGGCTGCCCGAGAAATGGAAACGGTGGCCAAGGACCCGCACCCGTGGTGTAGGGGCGGGCCTTGAGCGATGGCGCCTTGTGCGCGTGGCACAGTGCACGTCATGTGCAAAGACCGTGGGCAACCCAAAGGGGTTAGCGGTGGCGGTTGGCTAGCCCTAGTTAGGGGTGATAAATAGGCTAGAGGCCTAGGATGAGGGGGAGGGAGTAAAAACCTCTTAGCCCATTGGTAGTAGCCCATGTGGTAGGGGCGAAGGCATGCTAGGAGCATGGCAATGTATGGCCCGGTTTATATAAGGGCGGATTCATTAAAGAAGCAATTTCTGACTTGGCTCATGGTGTGAAAAAAAAAAAAAAAAAAATATACAAAGGGGGGGGGAGGAAAGAGACAAGAAGCGGAAGAAGAAGAGACAAGGAGAGATGAAGGAGCAAAGAATGGCAAAGATACTTACCACATGACCCCAATCAACGACCCTTGCACTCATCGGACGTGCAACCATTGCTTTGGCCAACGGGCCAAGAAGCATGACCGGACTCAAGGGCGAGCAAGATCAAGAACGAAGGAGAATTTGTGTGTGTGCGCACATGTGTGTGAGAGAGAAAACGAGGGAGAGAGAGGGAGGGGGAGGGAAAGAAAGAGAAAGAGAGAGAGAGAGAGAGAGAGAGAGAGAGAGAGAGAGAGAGAGAGAGAGAGAGAGAGAGAGAGAGAGAGAGAGAGAGAGAGAGAGAGAGAGAGAGAGAGAGAGAGAGAGAGGCCCTAGGAGCAAGTCCTTAGCCTCTCCAGCACTCTTCCCGCTAGTATAAAGTGCTCCTCTGCAGCTATCTCTTTTCATTGTTTGGTTCTCTTTCATCTGTTTCTCCTAACCAAGCGGCTCGCGCCGGCCGCTGAAGGCGGCCGACGCTCGACAGCGCGGCCTTCGGCGGCGCGCGAGGGAACGACAAGCACACAACACTCAGAGTTGCTCGCAACAGGCATACAAACATGGCAATCCCTACCGCGGCCTAGCCGCGCGAACCACTAATGGCAGAGCCGGAGCCCGCGTCTACATGTGGTGAGCTCCGAGAGCATGAAGAATGCCCGTCAGGGAGCGCCACAGCTCCCGGACCACAAGCATGCTTGCGCCGATCGCGGCGGCTCCAGAACCAGCACGCAAATGGCGCCGCAAGCCGCGGACAGCCTCATCAAGCGGCCCCACCGCCGCAACGCCTCCCTCGGCGGGCGCAGCCAGCACGGGCGCCAGCAGCCCTGCAAGCTGATCGGCTGCGTCCAGGCAAGAATCGCGATGTCGATCCAGGAACAACTCAGGGGGGGCCGCAGGGAGAGACGAATGTGCAAGAACCTGTATCAGAATCAGTGCGTGAAAGCTCTCCGCGAGACGGAAGAGCTGGCCGAGGGTCGCCTCCGGAACACGGGCCTGAGGGGGTTGCAGCGCCTGAGCAAGGAACTGGAATGGCTCCTCAACGGCAGGAGGAGCCGGGCCACCCGCCGAGCTTCCCACAGCCACAAATTCTACTCCTGCCACGGGCGGAACGGGCGGAAGATGCAACCGTGACCCTGGAACGGGAGCAGACGCGGCAACAGTGGGGGGCGATGGGGCCGGAACGCGAGATTGGACTGGAGCAGCAGGGAGCGGAACCCCAGGAAGCGCCGCCTGACGCTGAGTTGGATAGGAGGCGGCAACGTGCGAGCTGCCTTGGGTCTGAGCAGCCCACTCCTCACGCATCGCGGCCGTTACCGCCTTTTGCAGATCCGCCATCCTTACGGGCGGATCATATGACCCCCCGCCATTGTGACCGTGAGAACCCCACCAGCCACCGCGACCGCCACGGTGAGGATACCACTGACCCGTCCGTTGATTGCGCCGGGGAGAATTGCGCCGACGCCGAGAGGACGCCCGATCCTGCTGGGGCGCTGGGGATTGGGGGCGAGACAGGCAACGGTCCGGCGAGGGAGGACAAGACTGCGACGCCAGCTGCGCCTGCTGGGCCACGGGCGGCGCAACAGGGGCAGCCAGGTCCACTACAGAGGGCACATTCAACTGTACCAGGCCGCCAGTGGTGGCGGACACTGGGAGCGGAGACGAAGCAGGCGCAGAAGTCTGCAGCTCATGGCCAGCAGCTGGTGGCCCAACGGGAGCGGGAGCCGGGAATGCGGCGTTAGTTTTTGTCGCGGCTTCAAGTGGAGCCTGGGGAGCAGTTGGGGCAGATGGGGCGGACCGCTCAGCACCAGCGGAGGCCGCAAACTGAGCGCTTGCTGCGGCAAGGGGAGCCGCGGGTTCGGGGCGAGGAGGCTTTTCAGCGGATGTTGTCGAGGGCTTTGGAGCCAGAGGCACTGGGAGCTTCGTCGCCGTGGTCGCCTTTCCGGGCTCAGACCGAGGCTTGGCGACCATTGCCAACCAGACGGCAACGCGCTCTGGCGACGGCTCGGGAGCCCCAGCAATCACCATCGCGAGGCCGGGCAGCGCGGGAAGAGAGGAGGAAGGCGGTTAGCGGAACGGGTGGAGGGCCGGAGAACGGGTTTCAGGCTGCGGGACGTCGGGCTTTAATTGCCCTAATTGTTGCCAATGAGGAAGGGGAGAGAAATGACCCCTCTTATACCACGGAAGCAGAGCCAGAGAGTGAAAATGATGACGACGGGGATGGAGCAGAGGCAACGAGAGTAGGGACGGAGAGGAGAATACCTAGGACAGCCAATTTACCCACAGCTGGAACAGAGAGGCGTGCAGGGCCATTGGATGCTGATCGAACGGATGAGAATCCAACCCGACAGCAACCAACGACATCGGGTCGTGCACGCAGACATCGGACCGCACCCCTTCACCCTGTGTCAGGATCAGCCCCGCACCGCCCCTGCTATTTTTCGCCAGTGGAGCTGGCGGAGATGGGGGACAAATTCGCTGACATCGCGAATTGGGACATCTCCGCCCTCTGCGACAGTCGCCAACCGCCGCTGTCGAGACGATTACCACCAAACCTGAGCCAGTTATTTTCGCTGGCACTCGTGACCCCGCTACACCACCTCTCGCGAAACCCTGACTCCGAAGCGGGTTGGAAAATGCTTCTTTTCCTCCCGGGTCTGACCCTTCGCCAGGCTTCGCCAAAACACCCAAAGTGGCCGCAAATCAAGGCCCGTCTTCGGGCTTTCCAGCGTGGCGAATGGTCGCAGCTCTACCAAGATGCGGTAAACGCGGTCAACGCCCCTCCGCCCCCTCGCCACCGACCCGATGTGACAAGTGTACTGAGCCGGGCCGAGGGATTGGCAAAACGTGGCAGTCTGCGCAGAGCCGTGCTGGCCCTCGAGTCAACACCCGTCTGCTCACCGAGTCCAGAAATCCTGGACGAGCTCCGACATAAGCATCCACCAGCGGGCGATGAACCGCTGACCTGGCAAGCAGCCGACACTCAGCCCCTGGGCATTTCCCATGCGGAATTTGCGAAGCTCCTCGGGCGATGCGAGAATGGTGTCGGTGCCGGACCTTCGGGTACAACATTTGAGCACCTGCGAGACGCTGCAATATCCAACGCATCCGTCAGCACCCATCTGCATGCCTTGGTTAATACAATTCTGGGAGGAAATCTCCCGGACTCGGTGGCGGACCTCCTCACAGCGTCCCGAATCATAGCCCTGGCCAAACCTGGGGGCGGGGCCTGACCAATCGCAATAGGCGAGTGCCTGATGCGGCTGGCTGCCAAGGCTGCGCTCTTGGTCATGGGGGATGCTGCACGTGAATACTTCCTACCCCTCCAGTACGGCGTGGCAGTGCCGGGTGGAGTGAAAGCAATAATTCATGCAACCCGAACGTACATGGATGGCCACCCGAACAGCCTGGTACTGCAAGCCGACATCGCGAAGGCTTTCAACAGCATTTCGCGACAGGCTATCGCCGTTGCGTTACAAGAACCCAGCCTTTCGCCACTACTACCGCTGGTCAAACTGACTTACAGTAACCCGTCGCAGCTGCATCTGGATGCAAATTTTTCAAGCGACCCCTTGCAAAGTGAACGAGGCGTTCGCCAGGGCGAACCACTGGGCCCTCTCCTGTTCGCTGCGGGGATTCACCCCACACTTCGCGACACTGCAGCAGCGCACCCTGATGTGCTTTGTTTGGCGTATGCGGACGACGTGACCTTCGTGGGGGAAAAACGTGCAACTGTAGCTGCCTTCACCCACTTCACCTCAAAGCTGGAAATCTTGGGCCTGAAGCACAACCCGCAGAAGTGCACGGCATGGAGCGCACGCACGTGCGACTCAACCGAGCTGCCGCGAGCAGTCCCTTTCTGCAAAGACGGCGTCCGGCTCTTGGGAAGTTTCATCAGTGCAGCCGACGGGGCACCTACTTTCCTGGCTCGGCAATTGGGGGAGATGGCCAAGCCCTTGCCACTCATCGAGCGGGCAGATCCGCAGGTCGCTTCGCTGTTGATCACGCGCTGCATCTCCCGGCGCGTGGCGTACCTCACACGGACGACCCCCCTCAATCTCGTCTCCCGGGACACTTGGACGCAGTGGGGCCGCGATCTCTTGATGGCATTGCTCACCTCGTGCAATATCCGAGCTCCAGCGGATAGAGCGGAACTGTCGCGTGTGTGGGCTCAAGCGACCCTTCCTCCGTCTCTTGGGGGTGTAGGGATTACAGACCTCTCATCGAAGGCGTATACGGATTCGTCGCAAGTTTCACGCAGGCGGCGCAGCTCTTCTCCACACTCACTCTGTCCCCAGATTCTGCCCTGTCGCACACAGTCAGCCATATGCTCCTGCCGACAGACGAGAGCACTCCACTCCACTCCTGGCTCACTGAGTGCGAGACCACCCTGCCTTCGGACGCGTGTGAACTGTTGGAACGGGAGCGTCTGAAATGGACGGACGTGAAGCTGCAGCACGCCCTCGCCCTCCAAGTCCACGGCAGCCGCTACGCGGTGCAGGTTCAGGAAACGAGGAAGATGCCGCTGAATCCGTTTGCGGGCCACACGCAGCGGATGTTCTCCTTGACGGGATACGGTGCTGGGGATTGGTTGACACCGATACCAATAGCCCCGAATAGGCGCATTGGACCGGTCCACTTTGCCAGCGCCGTCAGATTTCGGCTCGGCTTGCCCTTCTCCACTCCCAAAAACTGTGACTGCGCGGACCACACAGCGATCATCGACCCCCGCCTCCCAAACCACCTCCTACGCTGCGACACCGGCAAGCACCGCATCAACACTCACAACGAGGTCCGTGACGCCTGCATTAGCATGGCCCAAGATGCCGGATTCATAGTCCACAGCGAGTCGGCGGCCCATTGCCCCATCGAAGAGCAGACGGCCGACTTCACTATGACCGATAGGAGCAGCGGGGCAGTATGGGTGTGTGATGTGACTGTGACTGACCCTATCAGCAGACGGGACCCGGAGGCACAGAAAGGAAGGGGATGGGCGGCAAGAGAGCAGGCAGACAAGAAGATTGGGCACTATGCAAGTAGACCTGAGACGGTTGGTTTCTTCCCATTGGCGGTGGAGACCTATGGCTGCCCTTGTGTAGAGGTTCCCGTCTTCCTGAAACTCCTCGCAGACACGGCGGCTCGGCGCCACTTCAACGCCGATTCTAACTCCTACTATGCCGCTAAGTTTCTGTATCAGTTCAGGCAGCGGTGGTCGGTTGCACTTCAGAGAGCACAGTCAGTGGGGTTGCTCATGAAGTTGGGTGAGGCGGCAGCCGCTGAGAACCCCCCGGTCGGGGGTATCGGCCATGAACTACACCTAGGAGATTGCTTTGCTGTTTTGGAGCCACTTGTGGAACTGTAGATGGGATAGGTTCTGACTTGCATGCTTACCGAACCTGTACGTGTGTATCTTTTGGCCATATCAATATACGGACCATTAGAGAGAGAGAGAGAGAGAGAGAGAGAGAGAGAGAGAGAGAGAGAGAGAGAGAGAGAGAGAGAGAGAGAGAGAGAGGGATGGCTTGGGGCTAGTCCTTAGCCGTTTTTTAGCCTCTCTAGCCTAGTCCATAGTCCTTAGCCGTTTTCATCATTGTTTCCCTAGTATAAAGTCTCTAGTCTTTGACCCATGAGGCTCATTCTTCACTGGTAAGTCTAGTTCACTCTCCAAAACCGGCGGCTCGTTCGAGAGAGAGCGAGAGAGAGAGAGAGAGAGAGAGAGAGAGAGAGAGAGAGAGAGAGAGAGAGAGAGAGAGAGAGAGAGAGAGAGAGAGAGAGAGAGAGAGAGAGGGATGGCTTGGGGCTAGTCCTTAGCCGTTTTTTAGCCTCTCTAGCCTAGTCCATAGTCCTTAGCCGTTTTCATCACTGTTTCCCTAGTATAAAGTCTCTAGTCTTTGGCCCATAAGGCTCATTCTTCACTGGTGAGTCTAGTTCACTCTCCAAAACCGGCGGCCGCCGCTCGCCGGCGCGGCCTGCGGTCGCGCGTGAGGTGTGGCAAGGGGTCTCCAATGACAAGTTTCATAAGAGCATTTGATACAACATGCAATGGTAGAGCCCTGCAACAAAAGCAAAACCCCCGGGCGTGCCTGCACCGCCATGGGGAAGCCCAAGGCTAAGCCAGCTACCAAGGGGGAGGGCAAAGGGGACAAACCGGCTACTCGGAGAGTATCGAGCACAGCCTCCCGTCCATCCAACGTAGGACGGATGCGGCTGCTGATACAAGACCAAGAGGGGCCCCCTGAGCAGACTCGGCAAGCCGCAACATTGCCCCAGGGCCGGGCCCGAGCGCAGCCCCAGGAGCGCCCTGGACAAGCCCGATCAGGGGGAGATAGTTTAGCATCTCCCTTGGTGCGGACACCGCCGCTGACTGCTTTGATGGCATCATCCCCCCAACCTCCACACCCTACCGCGCCAGACACACGTGGAGTTGGTCCAACACGTAGGACAGCAGCGTCAAATACGTCCCCACGTGCATTACGCGCTGCTCGACGTGGAAAGGAGTCGCAGCCACACGAGTAGCAACGTGAGGAGCTGGTGGGACGGGTGGGAATAACATCACCTGGGGAGGCGGCGGGGGAACAGGAGCCGGTGGAGGGCGAGGCGGCTGCGGCCGCGGCGGCAAGGGGAAGTGGCGCAATGGGGAATGAGTCAGAGGCGGCTGTGATGGTTGAGGCGGCGGCGGCGGCTGCGGGGCTGGAGGGGGTTGCTGCTGAGGCGATTGAGATGGTGGCTGCTGCTGAGCTTGGCGGGCCTGACGCTGCCTCTGGCAGCGGCTCAGCCTCACCCTTTGCCATCCCCCAGGCGTGGCAACCGGAGGAGCCAGGACCACCAGTGGCTCAGGAACGGACAGAGGCGGTGGAGATGGCGGCGCCACCGGAACCTGTAACGGCGCTTGTGCTGGCTGCGGCGGTGGCAGCGGCGTCAGGGGAACAGGGCGAAGCCAGGACCGAGGAGGGTGCGTCGGTTGACGGTGCGAACGTCGAAGCCTCTGCTGCTGCCGAGGGCGCAAGCACGCAGGGACACGTCCTGGGGGGGAGCGGTAGACAGGGTCGCGGAGCTGGCAGGACTGCTGGCGTCGGCCGCGAGAAGACGACGCTTCGAGCCCAGCCGGCACCGAGGCGGCCCGGAGCAGGGCTGGGACTTGGTCCCCCGGGACCCCTCCTAGGCTGGCTTCTGCAAGGGCAGTTGCCACAAGGGCAAGAGCGTCACTTGCCATCTATGGGGACAAGCGACGGGAGAAGGGAAGCAAGAGACGGGATCAGGCTAGCACCAACACCAATCATCACGACAGGGAACGCAGTGGCGGGACCATCAATGCAACAACCACCGCGTTGGGATTCGCAGAACTCGACGGGGGGAGAGGAGAGAACAACCACGGCTACTGCCACGGCTCAACAGACCCCACGGCGTGAAACCCGCAGCTCTACAAGGGCGCAAGGCATCACCTGGGGCCAGCCAAGGGCTGGCCAGGCAACGCCGATGCTGGCGCCGTGGATCCCGGCGGGAAGACCACAACAGGCAGGCCGAGGCGAGCAGAACGCCGGCCCTAGGGGGGGAGAAACGGCTCGCGGAGCAAGGGGAGGAGTGCGAGGGGCCAGAGGGGGACAGGGCGAAAGAGGCCCAATTGTCGGCGGAAGGGTCGCGCCCGTGAGAACGGGAACGTGGCGAGAACGCCACGAGCGACCGGAGCAAGCGGAGCCTGCAACGAATCACGATGAAGATGATGCAAACACCGATGAGAGGGGCGATTATGTAGCTAAATCAGCGGAGCCATCAGAAGAAATCTCGTTGGAGGACGAGGAGGGAGTACACAGAGAGAGAAGAGCTGGGGAGCGAAGGAGAACCCAGAACAATGGGGTAAACCCTCAGGGCGATAACCCGCAAGGTACGAGAATTGGGAACGAGGAAGCGCCAGGAGTAAGGGGAAACCCTTAGGTGGTAGGAGAAAATGGGAACGCACCCAACGAGGGACAGAGTGACTCTGGGGTCAGATCACCGTCTGACCTGGCGGATGACCCTGCCATCTGGGAGCTGGCAGCCACGTGGGATAAATACCCACTCCAAAAAGGGGATCAACCCTTCGTGGTCCGCAAAATGCCGCCTAAGATCCGGGAAATCTACACGCTCTGTCTCCTGGCGCCCCTCATTCGACTCTCGAAGAATCCCGACTGCCCAAGCGCATGGGCGATCCTGCAGTATCTACCGAGGCTGACGCTATGCCCGGCCTCTGAGCTTGTTGAAGGCAGCCGGTGGACAGCAATAGAGCTGCGCCTGCACCAGTTCCAACTCGGCAGCTTGCAGGCCCTCTACAACCGACGCATGTATTATCCCCGACAATGAGAACCCGACACGACACCAACCGGACGACGCAGGTTTATGCGCAAGGGCGGAAGGGTTGATACGGAAAGGAAACATTTCCAAGGCAGTAGCAGCGTTACGAGCTACACCGCTCGCAGAAGCAACGGCAGCAACTTTGACTGCCCTCCAAGCGAAACACCCCGCAGCCGAAACTTCGCTACCAGGTCTGGTTACAGGGTTCAACCGCTCGACATTCAGCGTGTCCGCGGACGAACTTCGTGAAATCCAGGAGAAATGCCCAAACGGGGTTGGAGCAGGCCCATCTGGCACCTGCTTCGAACACCTCAAGGATCCGGCACTGGCAAACGGGGAGGTGCTTATTCTACTCGCTAAGGTAGTGACGTACCTGCTGAGCACGTTCCAAACACAAGCAACCCGCGATTTGCTGCTGCCTTCAAGGTTGATCGCCCTAGAAAAGCCAGGAGGAGGAGTCCGGCCCATTGCGATAGGGGAGGCTATCCTTCGAGTCGTAGCTAAGGCGGCATTGCGTGGTTTAGCCGAGAACATTAAGGAGTTTTTCGTGCCAGTCCAGTTTGGGGTAGCGATACCGGGAGGTGCAGAGTGTATCGTCCACTCCGTCAGATCGCTACTAAGGGACGATGACACACGAGTAGCGCTGCAGCTGGACATAGAAAACGCCTTCAACAGTGTCGAACGGGCGGCTTTCTTCAACGCTCTCTCCCAGTCCAGTTTGCTGCAGCTCATGCCCCTGGCCCGAACTCTCTACGGGGCACCGTCGTCACTCTTGGTTGACGAACGTCTAGGAGTGAACCATATCCTCTCGTCACGCGGGGTGCGTCAAGGGAACCCGCTCGGTCCACTACTCTTTGCGGCAGCAATTCAACCATGCCTGCTGAGCACGGCGACCTTCTTACCAGAAGTCACGATAGTGGCCTACGTCGACGACATAACGATAGTGGGGCCGAAGGAGGCCTGCTATGAGGCTTTTGGGGCCATTACCAGGGAGCTGGCTACGCTCGGCCTCCGTTGCAACATCGCAAAATCATCGGCATGGGGACAATCGCTAGCGGATGACGGCGGCACGCCACCTCCCATCGGCCTGCAGCAGATCACAGATGGGATCCGGGTTCTAGGCAGCCCAGTCGGCTTGCCTGCCTTCTGCACCACCCAAGCACAAACACGGCTTGATGAGGCGTCGGCCCCGTTACCTCTGGTGGCGCAGCTCCACCCACAGAGCGCAATGCTCATCCTCACGAGGAGCATATCCCGCCGAATCTCCTACTTTCTGCTGACGACACCGGCGGAAGTCCTGGGGAGGGAGAAGTGGAGGGGCTGGAGTGAGACCCTGATGGCAACGGCACTAGCAGCAGCGAAGCTTCGAGTACCTTCAGACGAGCTGGAGAGGAGTCTGTTGTGGCGCCAGGGGAGTCTGCCGGTCAGGTTGGGAGGCTTGGGGATTATTGACCCAGTCTCCGAGGCACCTGCGGCCTACATCGCCTCGGTCACGGCGGCGCAGCAGTTGCTGCGCCAGATGAACCTACCTAAGGCCTATCTCCTGAGTCGGGCGGTCAAGCTGTTGTGCCACGAGTGGACCCCCGTCCCACCCGGCATCAACCCCCTGACAACTCTGGAAGCTGGGCTACCCATAGCTGCACGGGCGGCACTACACACTTACAGGGAGCAGCCGGCGGGACAGGGGAACCTTCAACTGACTCTGTCTCGCCACATCAATGAGACGAGGGCGGCGGAGCTGCTGGCTGACACAATAGAAGACCTCCCAGGGAAGGACCGTGGGCGCGTAGTACGGCTCATCAGCTTGCAAGGGATGGGCGCGGGGGACTGGCTCCATGCCGTCCCAAAGAGATCTGACCTTACTTTCTCCCCTGGTCAGTTCTCGTTGGCACTTGGCTTTCGCCTCGGAATGGCTCTTCCAGTCACAGTCACCTGCCCGTGCAAGCGCGCCAACACTGCAATTACGGACACGAGCCTGGCAAACCACCTCTTGCGGTGTGAGTACGGGGGAGATGTCGTCCGCACATACGACGCTCTAGTGTTTACTCTGCTCCAGATGGCGAAGGAGGCTGACTTCACGGTTTTCCACGAAACCACGGCCTTTTCCCCACCGGTGCTGAGGAAGAGAGGAGACCTTGCTATTTGGGACAAGGAGTCAAATGAGACTTGGGTTACAGACGTGACTGTGACCGACCTAGTGCTGCAGTGCCGTGACAAGCACGCCCGGAAGCCACCTGGATGGGCGGCAAGAGAAGCTTCAGAGAGGAAACACAGGATCTATGAGGGGCGGCCTGACTACGTGGGTTTCTTCGGGTTGGCAGTGGAAACATACGGTGCCCTAGCTATGGATACACAACAGTTCATCCGCTTGTTAGCAACCTCGACGGCGAAGACAAGGTTCCGCCAGGGGAGGCTCACCACCACCACTGCTCGGCTCATCGCTCACTACAGGCAGCGCTTCAGCGTCATGCTCCAGCGCTCACAGGCCTTGTCATTCCTGAACAAGTCGAACATAGGGGACGTGGCAGCCTTCTTACAGGCGGCCAGGGACCCCTGGGAACCTAGCCTAGGGGATCTCTGGCAAGTCCTGGAGGATGAGCTGGAGGTTGTGATGGCTCAGTAGGTAGGAGAAGGTGTAGGCCAGTGATGTAGCCATGGCTCGGTTGCTGCATGATTGGCCTGAATGGCCTGCCTTCCTGTACTGCTGGCCGTGCCTGGCCTTGCCTTGCAATGCCCTGTCTTGCTGGTTTTGCCTTGTCTGCTTTCCCTCCCTCACTTGACCGGTTTGTTTGTGTGCAGATGTCTTGCTTGCTTCACGTTCCTGCCATGCATGATTGGTAGCTCCAATGCCTAGGCTTGTCTAGCTCTATTCCTACCATACCTGTACCCCTATGAACCTATCAATGAAGGACTTCTTGAGAGAGAGAGAGAGAGAGAGAGAGAGAGAGAGAGAGAGAGAGAGAGAGAGAGAGAGAGAGAGAGAGGGGGGGGGGGGGGGGGGGGGGGGGGGGGGGGGGGGGGGGGGGGGGGGGGGGGGGGGGGGGGGGGGGGGGGGGGGGGGGGGGGGGGGGGGGGGGGGGGGGGGGGGGGGGGGGGGGGGGGGGGGGGGGGGGGGGGGGGGGGGGGGGGGGGGGGGGGGGGGGGGGGGGGGGGGGGGGGGGGGGGGGGGGGGGGGGGGGGGGGGGGGGGGGGGGGGGGGGGGGGGGGGGGGGGGGGGGGGGGGGGGGGGGGGGGGGGGGGGGGGGGGGGGGGGGGGGGGGGGGGGGGGGGGGGGGGGGGGGGGGGGGGGGGGGGGGGGGGGGGGGGGGGGGGGGGGGGGGGGGGGGGGGGGGGGGGGGGGGGGGGGGGGGGGGGGGGGGGGGGGGGGGGGGGGGGGGGGGGGGGGGGGGGGGGGGGGGGGGGGGGGGGGGGGGGGGGGGGGGGGGGGGGGGGGGGGGGGGGGGGGGGGGGGGGGGGGGGGGGGGGGGGGGGGGGGGGGGGGGGGGGGGGGAGGGGGGGGGGGGGGGGGGGGGGGGGGGGGGGGGGGGGGGGGGGGGGGGGGGGGGGGGGGGGGGGGGGGGGGGGGGGGGGGGGGGGGGTGGGGGGGGGGGGGGGAGGGGGGGGGGGGGGGGGGGGGGGGGGGGGGGGGGGGGGGGGGGGGGGGGGGGGGGGGGGGGGGGGGGGGGGGGGGGGGGGGGGGGGGGGGGGGGGGGGGGGGGGGGGGGGGGGGGGGGGGGGGGGGGGGGGGGGGGGGGGGGGGGGGGGGGGGGGGGGGGGGGAGGGGGGGGGGGGGGGGGGGGGGGGGGGGGGGGGGGGGGGGGGGGGGGGGGGGGGGGGGGGGGGGGGGGGGGGGGGGGGGGGGGGGGGGGGGGGGGGGGGGGGGGGGGGGGGGGGGGGGGGGGGGGGGGGGGGGGGGGGGGGGGGGGGGGGGGGGGGGGGGGGGGGGGGGGGGGGGGGGGGGGGGGGGGGGGGGGGGGGGGGGGGGGGGGGGGGGGGGGGGGGGAGGGGGGGGGGGGGGGGGGGGGGGGGGGGGGGGGGGGGGGGGGGGGGGGGGGGGGGGGGGGGGGGGGGGGGGGGGGGGGGGGGGGGGGGGGGGGGGGGGGGGGGGGGGGGGGGGGGGGGGGGGGGGGGGGGGGGGGGGGGGGGGGGGGGGGGGGGGGGGGGGGGGGGGGGGGGGGGGGGGGGGGGGGGGGGGGGGGGGGGGGGGGTGGGGGGGGGGGGGGGGGGGGGGGGGGGGGGGGGGGGGGGGGGGGGGGGGGGGGGGGGGGGGGGGGGGGGGGGGGGGGGGGGGGGGGGGGGGGGGGGGGGGGGGGGGGGGGGGGGGGGGGGGGGGGGGGGGGGGGGGGGGGGGGGCGGAGGGGGGGGGGGGGGGGGGGGGGGGGGGGGGGGGGGGGGGGGGGGGGGGGGAGGGGGGGGGGGGGGGGGGGGGGGGGGGGGGTGGGGGGGGGGGGGGGGGGGGGGGGGGGGGGGGGGGGGGAGGGGGGGGGGTGGGGGGGGGGGGGGGGGGGGGGGGGGGGGGGGGGGGGGGGGGGGGGGGGGGGGGGGGGGGGGGGTGGGGGGGGGGGGGGGGGGGGGGGGGGGGGGGGGGGGGGGGGGGGGGGGGGGGGGGGGGGGGGGGGGGGGGG